GACAGCATCCTCGAGGTACTTGGACAGCTCGTTCCGTAGACCGTGATCGATGTTCAGCTCGCACTGACTGGACGGGGCAAGATATGTATGGTAGATGACGAAGGCAGTGTTGATCAGGGATTCGTGGTGGCGCTCCATGGCTTGCTGACCGGGAGTGTTCTTGCCACCAGGACGAGGAGCAGTAACGGCGACAGCGCTGGAGGTGATGTTGAATTTGCGCTTGAAATCCTCGACGTCGAGCCAGAAGGATAGATTTTCCTCGCAGAAATTGCTCCGTAAGAACTCGCGGAACAGGGAACGAAGACCAGGCTCCTCTAGTATATAGCGCAGGCGCTCCGCGTTGCTCTCCTTCTGGACTCCTGCCGTACGCTTTACAGCCTCGCAAGCTCTTTGATTATGTATACGCAGCTGAACGAAGATCAGTTGAAGTATCGCCCACCGGAGTGTGGATGTGGGGATCGTGTCGCTTATGATGAGTACGATCGCTGGGCAGGACTTCCGGACGACTTGGTGGCAAAGTGGTCGTATCTGCGCATGTCGAAGGTTCCCGCGCCTACCAGGCTGCGGCGCTTCCTACGACGTTGACCGCTCGGCGCTACAGTAGTACGGAGGGTCCGGCGGATGCATGCAGCATTGTTCGTGCTGTATCCAAGGTAGTTCAATTATAGCACGCTTTGAACGTCTATAAGCGAAAGTCTTTTTCCATTAACATTCGGACCGATGGAACGTTAACCGTCTCACCGATTTTCCCTTCCGTGAGAGAAGCGCACCTATAACGAGGACCAGTAATATACCCTGTTGAAGGCGATTCCGTTTAGGCTTGTCATCAATGGCCTTTGTTAAGTCCTATCACACCGATGACACTCTCCATCACAGGCGTCTTGAATCCTCGTTAGAAGCTCGATCAAGATAGATAATTCCATAGGTCCGGCGACTGCCTGTCTGTTCAATGCGTGAAAGGAAGCTCACCTAGAAAGATATGAAAGGCTTTGCAATGGAAGAGAAGGCCTCAAGTTGTGTTCAAAGAAGCTTTGAGGCAGACGCATCAGTTGCACGCTGTCAAGGATAATTTATCATAATACCGGCATTCAGGTTATAATATATGCAAACGTAGATAGTGTTGTTAAAAATATCCAGGGTGCCGGGACGGAAGAGTGATTGAAATTGGGCGGCGGCAAGGATCCGTGTCGGTATGTACTGTTGTGGGTGCTTTGTTCCTCCGGTGCGGAAACAACGTGCCCAGACCAACGTGTGAGTGTGCGTGGCCTTCTCTCGTGGCTTCATATATGGCTCATAGCCTATCATTATCCCTGGAAGTGCCAAGTAAACGACATCATCTCGGAGAGCTCGAGGCGGAGCTATTAAGAGTAGGAACGTGACCGGTTACGCGTGTGACAAGGCCCCTTTGTGTACTTCTCCATTTCCTACCATAATGCTCGCGCTTGTTCACCCCGCGCCCGACGTTCACCGTCCACCACCGTCATCACGCCCTCATCGACGGCACACGCCGTCGCGGTCCACCACGTCCTCCTCTTCATCGTCGTCGTCGTCGGCAGCAGGCCCGTCGTCGTCGTCCGCACCCCGTTTACCCCATCCGCCTCCTATATCTCGCCGTGCACCGTCGCCGCCGCGGCCACCACCACCAGAGCCACCGTTGGTCGATATACATAGCTACCCGTCAACGGAGCTGCTCAGGCTGCTCGCTTCATTGCTCACACAGATTGCAGCTACCAATGATGCCCTCAAAGACTCGTCTCAGGCGCCACCGTCTCATCCCCATTATCCCAGTGGTCTCACTACCGCATCTCTCAACTCTCTCGCCAATCCCTCCAGTACACTCACCTTCCATGCGCGTAATGTCCCCACCATTACGCTCGAAGCTTACCTCCTCCGCATCCTGAAATACTGTCCGACGACCAATGAGGTCTTTCTATCGCTGCTCGTGTACTTTGACAGGATGAGCAAGCTCACAGGGCGAGCCTTTGTCATAGACTCGTACAACATACACCGCCTGGTCATAGCAGGTGTCACCGTGGCCAGCAAGTTTTTTCAGCGACGTTTTCTATACAAACTCACGGTATGCAAAGGTGAGCCACTCGATCCCTCATCCTTCGTTCCCCACTCACCATTTGTCTTCAGGTTGGCGGCCTTCCCCAAGCAGAACTCAATCAGCTCGAACTCCAGTTCCTTCTTCTCAACGACTTCCGCCTCGTCATACACCCTGACGAGATGCAGCGTTACGCCAAACAGCTTCTCCTCTTCTCCACCAACGATTCAGAGTCTGAAATCGAGACGGAGACAGAGGAGGGTTGGACCACAGATGACGAGCCTACGATTCGACCGCCACGATCGGAGGACTCTTGCAGCATAGCCTCCGAAGACTCGTTCACCGTTCGGCCACCAGGCGAGCCCGATCGAACACCATGACATTGTATATGACATTTTTATTCCTTCACTTTGTGCAACTGCTGTAGACTCATCGCTTCTCATAATCATTGTGGATTTTGTACATATATCTCACTCAAAATGCCACCCACAAAAAGGCTGGACTTGTTAATACAAGGATATCTACCACTGGACTCGACGTTTGGCCTGCCACGTCTATTGGACAACCTCGGGAATTAATTCGCGCCGGTGCTCTTGAAGATGGAGCGACCCACTCCACTTCAGTCTTGATTTATGACTCGGACGTTTCTGGGAACAAGTCGGATAAATTCAAATCAATCGCCGTCCGGTTATCCTATGGGCCATGGCGTCTGAGCCATACCAAAATGCAGTCGGCGCTCACGAAATTGGGACTCGTGTCCATCATGTGCCCCAGCGATTCGGCGAAGTGACGGAGGAGGAGTACCGGCCTCGGTGTCATTGAATGAGGAGCACACGGTTGGTTGATGAAAGACAAATTTGAGAGCATTGTTCCCCCATGGAACACAATGGTCTGAATTGAGTAACATATGGATACACATGTGGGGCACGCGATGTCGCGGCATATCTCGAATTCACGTTCATAACATGAAGTTTGATCATGCCTTTCCTAGTACCTACTCTGCCTATTATCGTTCGCATATGCTGAAATTATGAACCCGCCACTGTCATAGGACAATCCACTGAAAGAATAGATGCACTTGACTGTCGTGTCTGAATAAACCGGGCGATGAACATGAAGAGTCGAGACAGGACGATTATCTTCGTGTTCTGCTTGCTCTGTGAACATGAAAGGAAAATGAGTTGAAGGGTATTACTCCATGTCGATCTCGCAAATCAAAGAACGTTCTGATAAACGCGCGAGCAAACGCTGAAGAGAAGAGATCCGGTCTCCAAACCGGCAACTAAAGCTTAAAATTACTTGAACCTGTACCACCATCATGCCCGCCGCGAAGCCACCGGCTGCCAAAAGACGAAACCGCAAGCGCAAAAGACGCGCAGCTTCTTCTTCATCTTCTTCAGCCGACTCATCAGAATCCGACTCTGAATCACAAGTCGAGCCGCCCAAACCTCTACCACCACCAAAAATCGCCCCGTCCGATCATGAATCTTCCTCCGAATCCTCCTCAGAGTCGGACTCGTCTGACTCTGACTCGGATGTATTTATCCCTGCTGCCGCATCGATAACAACAACAACAAAAACACAACCCCAACGCTCGCCCTCTCCGCCGCCTGCGCAGATTCCATCCTTCATACCAGAAAAGACAGCCTCGCCCAATGCCTCCGCGGCGGAGCTCGAGGTCAAGTTCCGCAAGTTCTGGATGACTGCTGTGGCCGATGGTTTCAGTGGAGATCTGGATGAGCTGAGAAAGGTGCTTTCACCGTTTTTTGTTGATGGAGGAGACGTTGATTGATTGTAGGAATCGAATTTGAGCAAATCGAGGTTGGAGATGTTGGTTCATTCGTTGGCGTCGGGAACAGAAGTCTTCTCCAAGGATGAGATGGAGGTGGTTTTGGGCTAGTGTTACTCTTGGTAGTGACTTTAAAAATCAGTACATACTACATCGTGAAGCATGAGCTGTGTCTTAAGAACTACACTTTTCGGGGTTGACAGCACAGTACACTACATTTGAATCTTGATATTATCTGGTTGACAGTGAACTGAGTGGACTGAGGACTCCATGTACTACAGTGGTGAAGTAAACCCTTGGTTTTGATACACCTCGGGTTTACTGTGGTTACTAATGGTATCAATACGGTATTGAAACTTTAGGGTGTCGGGAGGTAGGTTTCAATACCAACACGTGACTCTTCACGTAACGACACGCCAACACCGAGGACAAGCAGGGATTGGCGGGACAAGGGCGTGATCAGGGCAGCGCGCCACTGCGCCACATCACGTGGTCCAAAGCATGTGCCGGTATCGAAACCATTAGTAACGGTTTTAAAACTAGGGGCCGGTATCAATACCGTTACTAACACCCCCCGGAGGTTTACTGCGCCACCCTACCATGTACCATGAAATTTGAATGGTGTAATATGGAATCAAGAAAAAATTTAAGCCAGACAAGAGAATCTATTCCGATACGGGGAATCGAACCCCGAGCTGCCGCGTATCCTGACAACACATTGAAAGGCGGCAATGTTAGCCGTTACACCATATCGGATGGTTGTCTTGTGAAAGAAAAGCAATGCATTGACGTGGCGGATGTGCTCGGCAGCAGTGCGGAAGCCAGGTCCGGCCGATCGAAGTGATCCGGCTTATGCAATCACATGGTGTGCATTTAGGTTCGACCAGGACGACGACTAGCGGCTGTACTGACATATACCCCAGAACGCCCTCTCCAGGCGGATTTTCAGGATTTCTCGCCTGTTTTGATAACCCGGTTGGCAGCTGCCTAACGACGACCCGATCACGCGGAAGCATCGAGTAACGAAACACCCACACCAATCCTTATCGCTCTCCAAAAGATAAGCAGACGCGATGTCTCACGGCTCCTATTCCTCTGCCAGCATCATGACCGAAGACGAAGAAGATTGGGAAGAGGTACCTTGTCGTTGAGTTTCGTGTTATTTCACTAAAACTCTACCAGTACGTCAAGGGCGGCTACCATCCAGTTCATATTGGCGATACTTTTTCCGACTCCCGCTACGTTGTCGTCCGCAAGCTCGGATGGGGTCACTTTTCCACTGTCTGGCTGGCCAGAGACGTTCGGCAAGACATGTCGCTAATTTCGCTAACTCATCCTCACCTTTTCCCAGGGAAAACCGCCATGTTGCACTCAAAGTCGTGAAATCTGCTCCCCGCTACACCGAGACGGCTCTTGACGAAATAAAGCTCCTCCAGCGTCTCATCACCTCGTCCACGCCTGCCACACCACCCAATCATCCTGGTCGAGCGCACGTAATGGCATTTCTAGATCATTTCCGGCATAAAGGCCCAAACGGGACTCACGTCTGCATGGTTTTCGAGGTGCTCGGTGAAAACCTACTGGGGCTGATCAAGCGGCATCAGAACAAGGGCGTTCCTATGCATCTTGTCAAGCAGATAGCCAAGCAGGTTCTTCTTGGTCTCGATTACATGCACCGGTGTTGTGGTGTTATACATACTGGTACGTTTATAGGCTCTCATCGCAGCTTTAATAACGCCCATATTCAGACTTGAAACCCGAAAACGTTCTCATCGTGGTCGAAGACGTCGAATCCATAATAGAAGCCGAGCTTAAATCGGCCTCGTCGTCGTCCACGCCACCGCCGACCAGACTAGTCGGCGTCCCAGCATCCAAAGGCCGCGGTGGGAATCAGACACCCAGATCAGAGAGCATCTACATAACGGGTTCACAGCCGCTTCCCAGCCCCACCGCCAGTCCGATGTTGGATCGATGGGCGTTTGGCATGAGTAAGATCGGAGATGAGCTGGCGGATGAAGTCGGCAGCGTTTCCCTGGGCGAGGGCGAGGGCGAAGGTTTCGGCGAACGCGTGCCTATACCTCATCCGTCCTCAGCGCCCTCTCTCCTCACCCAGCAAGCACCACCTATCCACAACGACCGAATACCCCAAAGGACATGTCCGACCCGGTCTACACGGGTACCGAAAAAATTACCGTCAAGATTGCTGACATGGGTAACGCGACGTGGGTCGAGCACCATTTTACCGATGACATTCAGACACGGCAATATCGCTGTCCTGAAGTCATCCTCGGCTCTAAATGGGGCATTTCTGCGGACGTCTGGAGTGTCGCTTGTGTTGTTTTCGAGCTCATCACCGGCGGCGACTATCTCTTTGATCCTGCCTCCGGTTCACGTTATTCTAAAGACGACGACCATATCGCCCAGATCATTGAGCTTCTCGGGCCTATACCCAGTTCTCTTTCTCTCAGTGGCAAATACAGCGCAGAATTCTTCAATCGCAAGGGCGAACTGAGGCATATCAACAAGCTGCGCTATTGGCCGTTGGACGCCGTGTTGCATGACAAGTATCTCTTCCCAAAACTGGAGGCCGAATCATTAGCGTCGTTTTTGAGTGGGATGTTGAGGCTAGAGCCGGCGAAGCGGGTGGGAGCGGGTGAAGCAGCTACGCACAAGTGGCTAGACGGGGTTGTCGTCGCGGGCGAGAAGGACGCCAAGGCTGCTGAGGGGTCGGGTGCTATGAAGCCTGTGGAGGACATGGAGGAGGAGGTGACACCTACGATCGCTCCTCCCAAGAAGAAGAGCTAGTGGGTGCTTAGGTGTGTTGGGATACCTTGTTAGTTGAATGTTGTAACAGTGTTTCACTAGATTACTGTATTGAATACCATTTTCTACCATCAGTTCCGGTGCGGTTATAGATACCAGACCTAATATTATCAGATACCTGAGTTTTTGTCTTGTGTGAACATTAGTTGATTGGTTTGTTAGCGATTTTTCATGTTGAGAATTGCAGGCAGTAAGTCATAGCGTACATGCATGTACCTTTAACCAAAGATCATGGGGGCATAGCTCAGCTGGGAGAGCAACAGACTGAAGCCTGCAAGGTTTCTGGAGGTCCCCGGTTCGATCCCGGGTGCCCCCATTTTCTTGGGATTAAGTGTTTTGGTCCCGACTGTGGTAGCGCAGTAAACCTCCGGGTTAGTAACGGTATTGACACCGACCCCCCAGGAGGCCGTGGTTTTGAAACCGTTAGTAACGGTTTCGATACCGGCACGTGCCTTTACCACGTGATGTGGCGCACCGCTCCGCCCGGCGGCGGCCGCCCTTATCCCGCCACTTTCTGCTTGCAGCGCGGCATCACGTGAATTTGTCACGTGTCAGTATCGAAACTGTACTGATACCTCGGCCTAGGTTTCGATACCGTATCAATACCGTTACTAATGGCAGTAAACCCGAGGTGTATCAAAACCTAGGGTTTACTTCACCACCCTAGTAGGGTGGTGCAAACTCTTAGCTCTAGTATCTACTGATACCTCGGCCGAGGTTTTGCACTAAGGTCCTGGGTCCAAGCATTTCAGATTTCTAGTAGTAGCAGCAAGCAGGCAGGAAACCCCCCGGGGGTTGGGACCAAGTTTGGAAAATAATTAATTTTGCATTTATGATTGGTTTAACAACACTTTAAAGTTCAGTTACCGATACTGCTATCTACATCATCGTCATCCCACCCATCCCTATCGCTATCGCCACCCTCCGAGTTAGACTGATTGAGTATCTGCTGGTATCAATATGAACTTGACAGCCTCATCTGCAGCTGCATCTACAATCAAGTCCCATTGTTGACGAGGAACCTTTGGTCTGCCAGCATCCACCCATCTCATGACCAGCCACCATACACTCCCTCTGTCACGTTCTCTGCACAGCCTCAAAGAAGAGTCTATCAGTAGTAAGATAGTGTCACCGCAAACATGCCTTTCAAACTTTTCCAGCAGATGTTGATACAGATGATCGATGGGAATACCGTCCTCGACCATGGCCGCAAAGGCCGCTCTACTCAGGGTTGTCCTCTCCAACGAAATGAAGGCGGCAACTTGGGAGCCTTGCCACCATCCAAGATGCTTAGCAACGAGTTGAGTGCCAACTGCCTGAACATTTCTTGAACGGAGCCCAAAGACAAGATCTCGAACATCCAAGTCTGAAAGTGATTCGCGGTTTGCAAGATATTGTCTAGAGCGTGCAACATCCCACCCCTCCCGCAGATGGGTCATAGGAAGAAGGGCGTAATCCGGTGCGAGGAGGTCAAGTTGGCATCGCAGATCAGAGACAGTCATGACAGTTGAGGTCTTCCCTGTCGGCGCCTTGTCATAGAACACGTTCAGCATCAGAGCAGTATTCAGATCAGGATAAAGCGATATGCTGTCAATGATGCTCTGAGTCTGTGTGAGCGCAATGGGAATGGCAGATCGCCGTGGCAGAAAGCCACATCCAGAATGCTCCGCCAAGTCGTTGATATTGGAGTCGACTGGATACTTCTGGGAGCAGGGCCTCGGGATTGAAAACCCTTGCTCCTGGGCAGCTGCCGGCAGTAGACACCACGAAAAGGCGGATCTGCGGACGTAGTCAGATACTGATGGAGTTAGCACCTCGGCGTATTCATGAGGCCCGCTTGTGCTCAAAAGGTGCCACCGAGGGCTTTCAAGTGCCCAAGAATGACATGAGTTGCAGAGGACGAGAACTTCCCCTCGACAGCCTTTCACCGCCATCTCCAACTGCTCCTTGGTCACGAACGCCTCCATGTCGCGGCCTCCTGTTGTGGAGATGCAAAGACAGAACCGATTGTCGCGCGTCAGGGCGCCGTGCCCAATGAGGATGAGAATGAACTTCTCGCCTTTCTTCACAGTCGACGCAGCGGCTGCCACGACAAAAGTGCATTCGGCAGCGAAATGGTATGCAGAGGCTTCGTCTTTATGGTGTTGTCTGTAAAGACACGCCGGGACAGGCCAGCGCAACGGGTCAGACGCCGCTTCGCCGAAGACGAACTTTCCATCCGGAAAGTGGGGAAGGAGATCCCGGATCCCAAAGTGCCGGAACCTGGTTGGGTCGAACTGCGATTGGGAGGAGAGGAGGGTGAGGAGAAGAAGAAGGTCAACCATCATCCAGCCAGCATCATTCGGCTGTTTCACGTCGCCGACGACGGTTAGCAAAGAGCATACGACGATCCTCGGCTCGGGACTGTTAAAGAGTTTCTGAGCTCGTAAAGATACATGGAGAATCTACAACGCACTGGAAAACAGATTTGAGGCTTCGCCACACGGAACGTGCCATTTTTCTAGGCGGCAATTAGAACAATTGATTATACATACCGGCCAGAACGCACTTGAAACTTGACATTTTCTGGTTGTGAATGTAGGCAGCCATATGATGTGGGTTGTGGTGGTACAAGAGAGACAGGTTCAGCACTTGAAGCCTGATCGGCGAGGGCGATCAAAAACGATCGCCCTCCTTCCTTTTGCCTCCTCCTCCATCCCTCTCATGGCTCCCCGAACTTGCGCCCTCTGCCATACGGCGCGTGCCATGCTAAAACGCCCCAAAACTGGCCAGCAAATCTGCAAAGACTGCTTTTTGCTCTTCGGCGCATGTCGCGGTGGTTGTCCGTAGACGGATGCTGGTTTCCATGAGTGTTCAAAACCCACCACTGTCCCGAGGCGCGAGATTCGCAAGTGGCGTTCAAACCGTCAACGGCAGTGGTGCTCTGCAACGCA